GCACCGTCGTGGCCCGCCTCCCCGCCGAGCTCCTCTTCCACCGACCGGACTACGACCTCGAGAAGCACTTGGGCGATTTGGTCGATCACGTGGCTGGTACCTCTATTTCTTTTCCTTCCTTCCTTCCCTCCTTCCCTCCCTCCCTTCTTCCAGCCCCCCCTTTAGCCCTGGGACGCGGCACATTGGTGTTCGCCTTCCTCCTCATTCTCACTCCACCCCACTTGTCCCTCCCGCAACCGATACCATGCTTGCACCCTCATTTTGTCTACCTCTTTCCTTCCTCTCCCTCCATATCTGTCCCTCCGTTCTTCCCTCCCAGCCCTCAAGGAACAGACCCACTCTATGATTGGATGGGCCAAGAGTCTGAACGACGAATATCTGAACGAGCAGCAATATCGTATGAATCAAGTCATCTACCTTCTTACCATGGTGTGTCTCAGCCCTTGATTCCCTTTTTTGTTTCTCTTTCCCCTGCTTCTGCCACCCTTCCTCTCGTGACGTCTTGCGCAGCAACGTTGGCATATGTAGAGATGCCCCCGCCCCGGATGCTGTCTCAGACCTCATCTGAACACCCTACTGCGTAATGGACACAGGTGACTACTCTCATGCTCCCTGCCCAGTTCCTCACGGGTGTATTCGGCATGAATGTACGTACCCATCATCCACCCCGTCCCTTCCCTATCTTTTCTTATGCACATACGAAAACTTCAACCGACACGAAATTGTGCGCGTCATTTCTCTCTTCTCCCTTTTCCCTTTCCTCCCTCAGTTCGAGTACTTCCCCCTTCTCAACGAACCGTGGGGATTTCCCGTCTTCTGGGTGATGACAAGCTCTGCTATTGGCCTCATTTTGTACATTTTCAGGGCCAAAAGATGGCTCTGATTATTGTAAAATAATGAGAAATGACCAAGAAAAAAGTTTAAAGCTCTTCCTCTTCACAAAAGGGAGACGTTAACGCCTGCAGGGAAGTTTTTCACGCTTCCGTTTTTGCTTTTCTTCCCATTTGATTGAATTCTTTTTAGTTTAATAGGGCGGACAAAGCACCCTAACCTCCCCTATGTCAAAACCTTTCGAAACACTACTGAACCCAAACTAAGGCCCCAGTGAGCAAATAAAAAAAGGGAAAAGGGAAGTATTAAACATCCCTACAACCTCATCGTTTCGACGTCGCATGCTATTCGTGCGCGGTGACACCGAATGTACAAGGCTCAAAACCCCGGCACATAAGCAAAAGGAGCCCCGTGGGCGGGAATTCCTTGGCGAGGCCTGACGCCGCGCGTCATGGCGGAGTCTGAACACACAAAAGAAGATAAAACTACGACAACCAGCGTCCCTGTACAGTGACTAGGAATGGTTCACGAAGCAGGCATTAAGGCGAGACATAATGAACTGGATGCAAGCTTTGCCTTCTGTTCGGAGCACAGAACGCGACGCCCTATCGCTCTTCTCACAGTGTTCTCTTATCATTCCTTGCACCAACAGACAGATACATGAGCGGTACTCCAGAAGTTCCAGACTTCCTCTTGGAGGAGCTCGGAAGTCAGGTGTGTTTTGTGCCTGCTTGGCTTGCTTTTCCCTTCTTTCTCACTTCTTCCCTGTTTCACTCCTGCCGCTGGGTACCCTTGTCGCTCCAGTGCCTCTCAATTCTTCTTCATGAACTTTTGACCATTAAACTCATTAAATGTCCAAACGATAGAAACTTTCCCTGCTAAAGGCAGACTCTTTGTCGTTCAAGCCGCGGAAAGTGGCGCCCGTCTTCCTCACACTTCCTCACACCTCCCTTCCCGTGTTTCTCATCTTTCTTCCTCCCTTAGGCACCAGGCTTGGAAGAGAATGGTGAGTCAGAACTGAACGACGACGTTGCCAGACTGACTCGGTGGTGGCTCCAGGAAGAGGCGGCGCCGGAGCTCTTGCCTTTCCAGACCCAGACGGTGGAAGACTTGTACGCCGTCGTGGAAGAGCAGCAGGTTTGTGGAGGGAGGCTTCCTGGGACGAGAAACACCCCCCGCGCCCCTGCTCAAGTTGGGGAGGGGCGAGGGCCTGCCCCCTCTGGGTTGGCAACGAGCTACCCCCTTCTCCTCCCTCACACCCTTTCCGCCTTCTCCTCGCCATGCAGGGCTTTGTGGACGTGTCCAAGACCTCCGTGGCTGAGGCCTCCTCGGCGCTTCTTTACCAGATGGAGATCGACCGGTACCCATTTCCTCCCCCGCCCTGGCCATCCCCTATCCTCTACCCCCTTCTCACTCCTCCCCACAACCCTCTCCGCGTTCCCTCTCCCTCTTCCCTCCAGCGTCAAGTACCTCCTCTCCCGCTACCTGCGGGCTCGCCTACGGAAGCTTGAGAAGTACATCCTGCACGTGGCCCTTGATCCTGGTGCGGCCAGGAGGGAGGGAGGGAGGGGTGGGAGAGCAGTTGTGTCCGTGAGGAAGTAAGGCGGGGTCGTTGAGGCCCGTAACGGCTCCCATCGTTGCCTTCTCCTCACCTCTTCCCTCCCTGCCTTTCCTCCCCCCTGTCCCCTCCCTCCTCCCCTGCAGACATGCGTCAACGCCTCTCTCCTCAGGAGCTGCGCTTTGCGGGCCAGTACCTTGACTTGGTGGTGCGCAAGGGGGAGCAGAGAGGACGGGAGAGAGGGAGGGAGGGAG